GTCGGCTGGCGGGGGCGGCGGGTTGGCAGGCGGCGGGCTGCACCTGTACCGTGGGGGCGGGGGCTCAGGGCACTCTCTGAGTTCTTTGAGTGTCGGGAGCTTCGACAGCAGGGGGGACGCCAGCCACCTGGCAGCTTCCTACATGCACAGCCACCACGTGGCGCGCACCGCCGCCGCGGCCGCGGCGGCAGCGCACCAAGGACCCGGCCTGCGCGCTCGCCAGCCCGGGCAGCAGCGGCACTGTGATGGCGACGCGGTCGCCAGCTCGGCTGCCGCTGCCGCTGGGGCCGCGGCGGCTCCGGGGTCGGGGACTGAGGTGGCGCCGCAGCCTGCTGGGCGCAGGGGCCCGTCACCACTGAACCCGGCAGCTCCAAGCTTTTCGGCCTGCTTGTCGCCACGCGAGACGCCGGGCACCGCGCCCGGCGGCGCCGCCGGGCGCTCCTGGGCGCAGCTGCTCGGGTCTCGCCCCGCGCCGCAGCGCGGCGGCGACGCAGGCACTCCCAGCGCCGCGGCCGGGGCCGCCTCGCACGCCGCCGCCGACGCCCCAGCCGCGCCCACGGGCGCGCTGCCGACGTGGCAGCCGCCCGCGGCGCCGGCGGCCGCCTCTGAGCTGGAAGTCCTGCGGGCAGAGAACGCGGCGCTGCGTCAGCAGCTGTCGCGCCTGGGTTCCTCGCACCAGCGGGAGCTCGCATCAGTCCTGTCCGACGCGGCCGCCCACGAGGCCGGCGCCGTCCACGACGCCGCCGCCGCAGCAGCAGCAGCAGCCGTCGCTGCGGAGCGCGGGCGCTGGCTGGTGCGGCTGCAGGCGCTCGGCGCGCCGGCGGCGGCACTGCTTCAGCTGGCAGTCGGGGACACGTGTGGCAGCAGCGGCGGCAGCGGAGGCGACAGGTCGCTGTGGGAGCAGTTGGTGCGCGCGGCGGCATCGGCTGCGACGTCCAGCGTGCTGCCGAGCGGCTTCGACGTGCCGCCGCTCCCCAGGCGCACCAGCAGCAGCGACGTCCTGGGCAGCAGCTGGCCGCCGTGCAGCCTGCCGCTGCTGCCCCAACACTACCTGTCCTCTCGGCTGCCAGCCACCCCCGGCACGGCCACGCCGTCCGGCACTGCGGGGACGCCGACGGCCGCCGCGCTGTCAGAGGGGGCGTCCGTCTTGCAGCACTTGCGAGACGAGTACCAGAATGGGGGCAGCTGCTTCGTGGCCGCCGCCCGCCACTCGCTTTTGGCGGGGGACGACGGCACGCCTGGCGCTGCCGTGGGCGGCGCGGGCCCGGCGGCGGGGCGCGCGGCGGCCGCGCGGCCCGGCAGCGTCGGCGGCAGCAGCGATGGCTTCGACGGCGGCGGCGCTGCAGCATCGGCCTTGACAGCGTGGGGCCTGGATCCCATCGTGTGCCCCGCCCCCGGAGCCGCGCTGCACCTGCCCGCCATTGGCAGCGGCGGCGGCGGCAACAGCGGCGCGGCTGCGCGGCAGCTGCTGTGCGGCGCAGCCGGGGGCGCGCTGGAAGGTGGGGGCCGCTGCACGCGGTCGCTCAGCAGCTTCCTCCCAGACGACTTGCTGGCCTAACAGGGCGGCCCAAGAGCATGCGCCGCTGCGCCGGCTCCCATGCCGGGCAGCGTCGGCCGTGCAGCAGCGGCGTGCGCGGCGGGCCGCGCCTCGGCACAAAGGCTCGCGGTGGCACGGGGCGGTTGTCTGCGGCGGCGTGGTTGATGTGTGCAGTTCGCGCGAGTGTGGAGGCAGCCATCTCTCGGTTCTGTTTCCTGGATGGTTTTGTGAGGGTGGTCACATTTTGAAAGCGAACTCGATCTCGAAACAGGTTTGCACCCGCCCTTGGGGCACAAACCCGCCCCGGCGGCTCGCCCTGCCGCATGCCGACTTTGCAAGTTGCATGAGCGTCGAAATCGTGCCCCGGCCTGCGGGGCCCCTTTTTGGTACCTGGTTCTGGGCCCGGGCTGGCCTGCGGCTGCCATGCTGACGGCAGACCTGTCGTTTGGAGAGCGCAGTGCCCGACTGTATGAACCGTCATTGATGACCACCCACGCCGGCGCAGCTGGGCAGTTTGCATGTGGATCGGCGCAGAGGCGGCAGGGGCAGATCTCGCCTGATGGTCCCTCGACCGCCCTCCTGCCTGTCTGTGCCCCCCCCCAGCGGCCGCTGCGCCCCGCCGCCCCTGTCGTGCAGACCGGCTGCGTCCGCGCGGGCCACAACTCCTCCTGCTGGCCTGAGCTGCCTGCACCCGTTTGTTGCTTCAAAAACGTTCACGCGGACCCGTTCCCATCTGCCTTACTGCCGCCGCCCACCCGCCACGACGCTTTCCCCCCGTGCTGCAACGGGCGTCCTCCTCACCGCCGCGCGGCGCGCGCAAGCTGAAGAAAGGAACGATTCGACGACAGCCCACCCACACGCGGCCGCTGCAGCCGGTGACCGGCGGTGTCGACTGCCCGCGTCGAGCTGAAGACCGGCCCCTCGCGCCGCCCCTGCTGTACCTGTATCCCTGGCGCTGCGGGCAACCTCGTCACTTTGACGCTCGGCCGCGCCAAGAAGGGCCTTTCCTCCCCCATCCAAGGCGCACCGTCAGCCCGGCCCTCTTTCTTCCCCATTGCATGCGCGCCGCCTGGCCGCCCCCTTCACTTGGACCTGTCAGCGCGCGCATGTGCTCGCGCATGTGTCGGCACGCCCGTGAGCCCTCGGCCGTGCCGCGCCGCGGCGGGCGCTAGCGTGATTCTTCCGTGATCTGTTGGGTTTGACCGACACGCCCGCGCTGCTGCGCCTGTGCGTGCGCGCGGGGCTGCAGTGTTGCGGAGTTTGTGCTTGTGGTGCGGGGCCACCCCCACCCCATGACCCCCTTGGCTGTGCCGCCTGACTGCGGGCGGCAGCGGTGGCCAGACTGGCCGCTGTCCTGTCGGGGCCGCGGCTCGGCTGCGTTCGGTGCTGCAGAAAGCACCTGTGATGTTTGACTGGCACGTGCGCCTGGCGTCTTCGGAGGGTGCACAGCAGTGTGCACCGTTTGTGGTTCGGTTGCTGTGGCGCGGTGTGCTTGCCTTTCGATGCAGCGGACTGGACGCGTGGCATGAGGTGCTTTCAGCGGGCCAGGCAAGTACAGGTGCTAGGTGTAAGGTGTATGGAGAAGGTGCAAGTGCCATGAGGGTGAGTGGGTCAGCGAGCTGCAGCATTGTGCACCCGCGCTGGGGTGAGGCTTGACAACCCACGGACATGACGACTGACTGCGCGCAGCTGGGCTCGCATACCGCGGCAGTGGCGTGCCCGTATGGCTGTTGGGGTCGTCACTGGCTACTCGTGATCCGCTGGCGATGACTCCCAGGTCGTCAAGCTCCTGATTTCTTCTGCGCTGCGGCAGCGGTGGGTCGGCGGTGGTGACACCCCAGCCGCGTGTGTGGCCGAGCACCCTGTAATCATCGACTTGGGTACGCTGATTTCTCGCTGTGATATGGTATGGCGTGAAGCCTCTGTTGTGACGCAGCGCACGGACAATTCGACACACTGTTTGCTCTCTAATCGGATGAGAGGTGTGTGCCCGCTTGTAGGAGACGTTTTGCGCGGGTGCCATTTCCTCAGACATGATAGAAAGTACGCTCAATCTCTCACATGTGATTTTCATACCAGTCAAAGTCTCTGCCCCCCGTACCATGGGGAAATGAAAAACACTGCGAAATTCACCGACCTTCCGCGTACCAACAGAGGAAGGCGACAAACAGATAGATACGGGGTGATCGTGATAATGCACGAGATAGCGCAGCCGTTCATCATCATAGAGGTGTGCTTTCCCGCATCCTCCACCTGTCCAGTGTCGCACCAAGGTGGACAAGCACCGTGCAATCAGTGCCTCTGCTGCATCCAGCCCACCCTTGTAATAGTTTGATATCCTTGAAGTAGTTTGAGAGTGCATCCATGGTGCGCAGAGCTTCCGTCTGTTTCCTTCACACCCAGCAGAACTTGCGCGTGAACGGTCGGTGTTGCAGCGGCGTCCCCCGTGATGTTAATGTCTCAGCACGTGCTGCCTCGTCGCTGCACATCCAATCCGCTCCGCCGCTGCAGATTAAAAGGTCCTGAGGATGCAGACACACACCTTAGAGTGGCGGCTGCTGCTCTCAGCGCTGCTGCTGGTGGTGGTGGCCGCCCCAGCCTCGGGTGCGGAGCAGCAGCAGTTGACAGTCTGGCGCAACGCGCGGTGACCCCCCTTTGCTGGTCGCGCCGCAACAAGACACTGTGCCGTTGACTGCAACTCCAAAGCTCATCACAAACAGTAACACCACACTCGCATGCACCCGTGCATACTCCAACGCAGGTGGCTGGGTGGTGAGCGACGACGCCCCGGCGGCCGCCCCGTCCGCAGGCGCCATGCGCGCCGCCGCAGCGGCCCCAGCAGCAGCAGCAGCAGCAGCAGTGCCAGCAGCGGGGGCGGATGCCAGCGGCGGGCAGAGCGGGGACGCGGCGGACCCTGAGGCTGTCGCGCTCTCAGCCATGGCAGCGGGCGAGACTGCGGAATGGATTGTAACCTACAAAGTGGGACAGGACGAAGGGCAGGCGGCCGCCGCAGCCGCCCCCCTCAGCGCCGCCGCCGCAGCGGCGGCCTCGCCCCTGGACGCCGCCGGCGCCGCCGGCGCGGGGCACGCCGCGCATCTGCGCGCCCAGCGGGCTGTCAAGTCGCGCGTCCTCGCGCCCGGCGGCGCCGCCGTTGCGCTCGGCGCGGCGCTGGCGCGCGACTTCACCCACCTGCCCGCGTCGGTCGTCTCGCTGCCCAGCCGTGCCGCGCTCAAGGCGCTGCAAGGGGACCCGTCAGTCGCGTCTGTCCAGCCCAACCGGCGGAACTACAGAAAATTGATGCAGAGCCTCCCGCTCATCGGCCAGCCGGCGGCCGCGGCGGCGGGCTACCAAGGCGCTGGCTGCTTCGTGGCTGTCCTTGACACAGGTCGGTCCACCGCCCCCTTTGAATTTGGGGACCACCAAGTATCCATCCTCCGCCTGAAGCGCCTAGCAAGTCAAAGCAACCTCGGACGCCGCATGTTTTCTCATTGGGTTGTGCAGCTTCGCATTACTTGCACTCCTCACAACCCCCAGCAGCGCACCTCGACAGCCCACCCCACGCCCCACCCCGCCCCGGCCCACCCCAGGCGCCGACTACACGCACCCAGACCTC